AACAAATATCATACATTCTAATGACAGAGCTGGATCAGGAGTTGACACTTGACCAGGGCTAACTGGCATACGACATCATTGTTTCCTTGATTACTTGTTGATAGAAGCCAAATTCCATTCATTTTAATTTAATTCAGCTAATTTATAAGACATTAATTGAACACCAACTACATGCCAGCTATACTCGCAACATAGCAGAAGAGAGATGTTTACAGAGCTAACATGAATGTAACATGATGCATGATGAGGTTGGAGAGTGAGGTGGCCAGTATTGATGGGGCTGTAGGCAGCAAGAGTCACTAAAGCATTTTTAGCAGGGAGTGATGAGATGAGCTCTATGTTTTAGAAATATCACTCTGGAGGCAATTGGAAAATGGATTCTGAGGAGTGGGTGATAGAGAATAGGAAGGAAGAGTGGTTGAAAAACATGAACTGGCCAACAACTCTCTGTGCTGGTTTTCTATGTTGCAGTCTTCAAGTGTTCCCTCTGCTTGGAATGATGCTTCTCATTCCTTAACTCCATGGTGACCTTGCCCCATTCCAACTTGCTCCCTGCAACACAAACACAACTATCTTCCTTTGCTAGCTTCTCCCCATCAGTCAGATTCCTGCTTATAAGTCACCTCTTCAGCAAGGTCTTTTCTGATTATCCAGTCTAAGTTAGTCTAATATTTTCACATGGATATATATTAGATTGATATATTGTTCGTATTCTTACTTTGTATACTTAAAGCTCTGGGAAGAGAGGACTAATTTTTAAAATTTCTTTGCTCGCTGATGCATTTCTAATAGCATCTGTTAGAGAGCGGATGTTTAATGAATATTTGGTAAAAAGCTGAATGAATAAAGTGTAAGTTAATATTTCTTTAAAGGGTTTCTTTGAGGAGTGTTTTAAGTGATCCTGGTGATGCTCTTACATCATTCAGGAAGCCAGAAAGGAAAAAAAAAAAGTAAAAGAGAAAACTGAAGAAAATAAACAACAACAAACACCATTCTACTTGAATTCTTTGGAAATTAGCACAGGTCATTGTGATTGACAGTCTTGATCCTAAAATCTCTGATGGATTTGTGTGACCAAACACAAGTCAAAAGGGCTTAACTCTATTTATTTCTTTCTCCCTCTTTGCAGATAATACCTAGTTAGATTTTCGTATGTAAAATGCACATATAATGTGATTCTGCTATAATCCGGTAAAAATGTTGCTTAATTTCAATTCAGTTTTATTGAACATATTTGTGTATCACTTGCATGCAAAATGCTGTAGCAAGCTAGCAAATTCCTCATGGTATATAAGCTCCTAGAGGGCAAGACCAAGACTGCCCTATTCACCATTGTATTCTCCAAGATAAAGCAGAAATTAATAGATGTCTGTTGATTGATGCACAACTGGATTACAAAGATTCATAAGGCACATTGTCTGCCCTTTAAGGAACTTATAATAGTGAGATAAGATATAATTTATGATATAATAGTGGGATAAGTTTCAGGTCCTAGGCCTTAGTGACATCAAAGACCTCAACTAATACATGGGAACTCACACAATTTCACTGGCTACATTTTACCAGCCACATTTTATAGACATGTCCTTTGGTAGGAAGAGTTGGAGAGCAGTCCCAATCCAGAACAGCTCTCAGTGTCTTAAACACAAGAGACATCTAACAAAGTAGTATTTTCTGATTCTTGTTTCTGAAGTCTTCGTCTATCTGTTCACATTTCAGGAATATGCAAGAACTAAGTAACATACAGGGGGTATATTCCCAGCCTGGGTAAGGGAAATGTATCAACTTTAGGGCCTTTGATTTTCTGGTTCCTATTACTGATCTTACCTGGCCCCCTTTTCTCTGTAAAATAGTCTGTTAGACATCACTAAAATGTAAAACAAATGTAGAAGATTCAACAGCACACCCCCAAAACCAGTTAGATATGCATTTATTTCCCTTAGGTCTACTTTATTCCACAAAGAAATCAACATATGGTGAAAAGATTAGACAATGTGGTATAGATTATATGGGAAAAGAAATGTGAATAGATGTATTAAAAGATATTTTGGAATCACGAGACAGATTCAACATTTTCCAAAATGTACAAATTTAAGCTTGTTGTCTGTTCTCCTGTAGAGAAAAAAATAGCAACAAATGAGAAATGCTGAGCCCTAGGCATTTCATTAGCATCCAAACTTCACCAATAAAACCTAAAAATGTACTCAAGTCTCCCTGCTTATTAAATCTTCTAAAAGGAGTGACTGCAACTTAGGAATATTTTTGAAACTGGTTCTGGTTACATAAGGACAGTGCTCAAAATACATCACAATCCATTTATATCCCTGAAAACGTTTTGAATGGATTTTCTTTTTTAATTTAAAGGAAATACTCATTTAGAATCTTCTTTTCATAAAAAATTGTAATTTTTTCTCTTATTAAAAAAAGAACCAGAACAATATACCACATACAAGGGTACTTCAAAAAGTTCAGGGAAAGATTAATTTTATCTTTTATTTTCCATGAACTCTTTGAAGTATCATTGTATATTACATGCTTGTTTTTATTTAATGTATATTTTGAAAATATTTAAAAGGACCCATATGTTTCTACACATTCTAGTATATCATTCATCATTTCATGTTTTTTGAGCTGATGTTAATATATCTGGGAGATGATTCCTTTGTAATCTATAAACTACTTTTGGTACTTAAGTTTTCGATGTAATTTTTACTATAGCTCCAACAAATATTTTGTTGAAAAACCATACTCTGAAACAGAACAAGTTCTTCCAGTTTTTCTGATACTGTACCTTTTTGTGCCAATTGTTAGGGGATTCCCTAAAAATGTACTCAAGTCTCCCTGCTTATTAAATCTTCTAAAAGGAGTGACTGCAACTTAGGAATATTTTTGAAACTGGTTCTGGTTACATAAGGACAGTGCTCAAAATACATCACAATCCATTTATATCCCTGAAAACGTTTTGAATGGATTTTCTTTTTTAATTTAAAGGAAATACTCATTTAGAATCTTCTTTTCATAAAAAATTGTAATTTTTTCTCTTATTAAAAAAAGAACCAGAACAATATATTGAATGGATTTTCTTTTTTAATTTAAAGGAAATACTCATTTAGAATCTTCTTTTCATAAAAGATTGTAATTTTTTCTCTTATTAAAAAAAGAACCAGAACAATATGCCACATACAAGGGTACTTCAAAAAGTTCAGGGAAAGATTAATTTTATCTTTTATTTTCCATGAACTCTTTGAAGTATCATTGTATATTACATGCTTGTTTTTATTTAATGTATATTTTGAAAATATTTAAAAGGACCCATATGTTTCTACACATTCTAGTATATCATTCATCATTTCATGTTTTTTGAGCTGATGTTAATATATCTGGGAGATGATTCCTTTGTAATCTATAAACTACTTTTGGTACTTAAGTTTTCGATGTAATTTTTACTATAGCTCCAACAAATATTTTGTTGAAAAACCATACTCTGAAACAGAACAAGTTCTTCCAGTTTTTCTGATACTGTACCTTTTTGTGCCAATTGTTAGGGGATTCTGATATATCCGAACCTAGTTGCTGAAGGTGAGCAATAAACATGGCTCATTCTAACAGATGTGGAGTGGCATGCTTAGGAGGGGGGATGTTACTTGTCCCTGGAAATAATCAAGCATGAACTCTGAGCTAGTTTGTGACTTTTTTTTGTAGAAGGAGGTTAAGCAATAAATCACCGGGTGGAGATTGAACTAGATGACCATAAGTTTTCTTCTCACTTGGAAATTCTAGGACTTTCTGATTCACTCTTACTGCCAGAATAAGTAGAGATACAATGGCACCAGGGACTCTCAAATTCTATAAATTGGAGGGTTCTATTTAGAGTCAATGTGAGATAATTCACATACCCCTTGTGTCCTAAACCACTTCTGTAATTGATATATATTTGTCTTAACACAAAATTTTACCTTAAATATTGAAAAGAGAATATTTCAGTACTTACCTAACTTTAGTACAAAATAAGCAATCATTGTTATAAGTTTTCCCATCAGATCCACAAATTGGGTCATATATTGCACTACAAAATATCTCTTCTCCTTTTGGTAACTTTTTATAATAACTGCAATCAACCTGAAAAACATTAAAAACATTTAATTCTTTCAATCAAATCTTAATTCCCAGGATTTAGGATTTTCCAAGTAAGTTTAAAATGCTCTCAATGCATTTGTTTCTTATTTCAATTGTTGGTGCTCGTTTAACCCCTTTGAGATATACAAAGTGTAAAGATTTTTTTTATGTCAGATATAAAATCATGAGTGATAAACATCCTTATGGTAATTGGTTATCAAATTGTAATTTATTTAAAAATAGAATTGTTCCCACTATTCTGGTTGAATCAGTTCTCACTCATGGCATATTCACACATGAACCCATCCTCATGGGAGCACACAGAAATGTGATATATTTTCTGTATGAATTATTATGCTATTTCTCTCTTTCACTTAAAAAGCTCAATATGAATGCAAGTGTGAGATATATTGTAGCAATAACTACTATAACTTTAAGAACTAGTACATCATTAGCAACTTTTACCATTAATTATTGGTAATGAGTTACTTGTTACACACTTCACCAGCACATAGACAGACAAATGTATCTTAACATTGGAGCTGAAAACCACTGTTCTGAATTCCTGGCACAAAGCCAAGGTGAGGTGCTGCCTGTGGGAACAGGGAGACAAGTTCCCAAAACAGGTAGACAGGTTCCCACAGGGAGCACATCAGCTTGGATATTTTATCTATGAGCATATTGAAGAGTGTAGACAGCAAAGTCAAATACATCCTGACTCTATGACTCTATGACAACTATTTTACCTGTCTTAGTTTTTTTTACCTGCAAAATGAAGGTTATAATAACTACATAGCGAGACTGAAGTAAAAAATACATAAATAAGAAGATACGTGTATAATGCTTAGCACTACATGGCATAGAAAATACTGAATCAATAATAGCTATTATTTTTATCTTTTGGCTTTACTTCCATGCCTACACAAACCCCAGCTCTATACAAAAGACTGCGTCTTCAGCTCATTCTGTTCTAGAGTTCCAGACATGATATTTTACTAACTGATGGATGTCTCTATTTGGATAGACTGGAATATGCTCAGAGATAAAGTTGAATTCTTCTTTTACCCCAGATATGCTCCATTAATTAGTTAATACATTTGTTAGTTGCTATCCTCCATGCACCTCCTAAGTTTTAGGCTGAGCTGTGTGCTGCCAATGCAAAGATTAAGAAACATAGAATAGTGGCAGGAGGACTTCACAGGCTGGTGCATCAAAATAGAAAGAGCAGTGCCCCATGGTAAGCATATACCAGAATGATATCACTTCCTCTCCTTGCCTTCTCAAACCTCAGAGCCAGTGTTAGATAAAATGTGACCAGGAAACTACCAAGTGCTTAACCTTCATTAACTTTTTTCGTTCTCTCACAGCTACTAAGTCATGAAGGATGGATGGCCTGAGCTCATGCCTGTCTGACTCCAAAATGTATAGTCTTATTCATATTAGTTTCTTTAATAGATAAAGCACTCAAAGAGGTGAAAGAAGTTGCCCAGGCCCCAGGGTCGCATAGCTACAAAGTAACAGAGCTTAGACTAGGACCCAAATTGCCTGAGTACTGGGTTAAAATTTTTACTACTTAGATTTTCTCAACAATTGTCATTATATTAATCTGAGTCATGAAGAAAAGGTTAAATTAATATCTTTATTCTCTAAGATAGACAACAAAGACCATTTAAAACATAAGAATAATGGCTTGTCCTTATTCAACTTTGCTATGTGCCAGGTATTATGCTAAGCCCTTTTGAAATATCATGGCTTTAAGCATTGTAATAATCTTATGAGTTAAGTTCTTGTGCCCATGACCACACAATCAAAGAGCTGGGATTTAAACCCAGGAATTTATAACTCATAACTCTTATGCCAGTGTCTAACCACTTTGTTCTACCATCTCCATTTTAGAGAGATCTGTCTATCATTTTTGAAACAAATCCAGTTTCTTGATATTCAAGAAGTAAACTTTCAGACATAGAAATTTAGTAAATCTATAGTAGCAAATATTTCCTTACTAATACTGGCTTTAAACTTACATGTAGGACTTTATATCAAGATGGATGTACTAACCTGTTGCCTCTGTGTGGCACATTCTATACCTGGAGGAAAAACAAAAATAAAGCAATATTAAATTAAACTCTGGAAGAACATAAACTTGTTAGAAAAATAAACTTTGATTCATCTTTCAGCTCTCAGCTTGTTACAAAAATATAAATGTATCAGCATAATATCAAAGGTTGAAACTTAACATAGACCTTTCTTCTTTCTTCTTTGGGGTGGGATTGGAATGCAGTCAAAGGGATGAAAAGGCTGCCATGATAATAAGGAGTTTGTCTTATTCTTCTGTACTTTATAACCAGAGCTCAGTAAATATTAAAGATAAACAAGTGAGTCTTAAATTTAGGGAGTGGCAGAAGTTGGACCAGTGGTTTAAAATTCTAGGAAGGCAGATTTTAACTCAATAATGGAAGAAGAATAATAGCTCATGCTGCCAAACAATGGATTGTACTGTTTTATGAAAAAAATGAAGTCCCCATAAATGGAGATATCAAGTCACAGCAGAGTCTGGATGATCACCTCTCTAAGAAGTTACACAAAGTGCTTGTATGCATTAGCATTTGGCCTCAGTTAACCATTAACATCCACATAACCCCTGAGATGATTTAGTATTTGTTGGTAGAGATAAAAATACATTTCAAAAGCTTCCCTCATCTATGTCATAAGTGTATCCCAGAGTTATGTGGGCAGAAGATGACATGAGCTATTGGTATCAGGGCAGGGGCAGTATTATGAGAGAGATACTCACTGAACATCATTGCAAGTGCCAGAGCCAAGAGCAGGACAAAGGCTGTTGCTCTCATGGTGCTGAAGTGGTCAAGACAGTGAGATGTAGGCAAAAGAAGTGACCTTCTGGTGCCTGCCCAGCTCACTCACATCCTTGCCATATATATTGTCGAGTTTCTGGCTCAGTTTTGAAATAACTATTTCAAGTAACATCTGGAAAGCACATCAGAAACAGGTCAGAAATGTCTGCTAGGCATGGGTGTTCCTTTCTTGTGTAAGACAGGTAATTGTACATGCCATTTCAATAGCTAATGAGACACTATAAAACTGTCATTCTTTCCATATATTGTTTCTGTCAACCTAAGATATCAGGGAGAAAGGTTCTCTAACAAAAGAGTTTATTTGGGAGTGAATGACAGGGATTATAATCTGAAATATGCATACCATGGTGGACCATGGACATATTCAGAGAGGTGAAAGAAGACAAAGATTTTTAAAGGTAAAATGAGGAACATTTCATAAGTTGTTTTGAAGCAATTATCCTTGGCTACATTGATCAGTAACAAGGGTGGCGTTAGTTCAAGGTTGAACAAGCAATTGCTTGTAGAAGTATTTTTGGTGCAAGGTTGTTGTGGCCTTTGTGCAAGGTTGTGATTTTGGTAGAGTCTTTTGTGATAGTCCTTGTTATTGAGCAGACATACTTGAGGATCCACCCCCCACGGCCTCCTGACTCAATTATTTTTAGGATTTGACTTAAGTGACTCCATTTTGATTCTGAAAACTTACCCATGGCCTTATTTCTTTGCAGGCTTAAATGTTTATGAGTACATTCACATCTCTTGTATAATTTGATCTTCATAACAAATCTGTCAGAGAGTTATTATGATTTTTTACTTGTCATACAGATGAGAAAGTGGAATCTCAAAGAATTTAAGTAATTGCACTGAGTTTACTGCATATTATTTGTTATACTAGTTTTTCCAGGAACAGTGATTAGCATGGCAGCTTTACAGGTTTTGTTATTTCCCCATACCTAACCTCCCTTCCTCCTCTCTCCAGAATCAAATGGGAGGTGTTGCCAGTTGAGACTCCAGACTGGGCAGAGAGAAGAGGTATCTACACCAAAGTCGTGATTCAGCAGAAACGAGCAATGATCAATGCTCTTAATCAGAGGAATAACTTTCCCAAAACTTTGCATTTGGGGAAATGTTATAA